CGAGATTTAACCCTTTCACCTCCCAAGGATACATCTACACAGTTGGGAACCATGCACTGAACCTGACATGAGTGAACACAGGCTGTGGAAAAAACTAGAGTATAGCAAAGTCCCATTAGGCCCTGTTTGGGCACCCATGTGTCAGGATATCTGAGGGTTTTGTAGTGTGGACACAGAGCAAAAAGGACAGGGAATTATAGCATGGTGTATTCACCCTGTCCTCTGGTGTCTATGTCTTTTCGTGGCAAGACAGCTTGCATGCTCTAACAATCCCCAGAGTCTGTGTCGGTGAGGGCTTTTTGCTCCTGGCAGGTTCAACCATGCCGGATTGGTCTGTGGGGGCGGGCCAGACAAAACAGACACCCTGGTCCTCCAGTTTGGGGGTTAGGCACAGGGCTAACAGCCCTGTCCCGTAAAAAACAAAATATGTTACGGAAACAGTGACAGAGAAATCGACCATTACTGTGTGTGATGGCCTTCAGGAGTCAATGACCTGTAAGACTGTCAGTGGTGAAAGCCAAAAGGAAGCCAGGGGCATGAAGACTGAAGCACTCAACACCACGACTAAAACCAAACTTGGTTTTTGGAACATACAGACAATGTACGAAGTAGGGAAGCTAGCTCAGGTCACAGCAGAGATGAGACACTACAGCTTACACATCCTGGGTGTCAGCGAGAGCAGATGGACGGGATCAGGAAGATTAACAACAGCCTCAGGAGAAACTTTCCTGTTTTCTGGACAGGATGATGGACAACACCACAAGGGCGTTGCCATCCTTTTGAAGAAGGGAGTGGAGCATTCCCTGCTTGAATGGAAATCCATCAGCAGCAAACTTATGAGAGCCAGACTGAAAGGGAAACATAATAATATAATCCTGATTCAGGGCTATGCTCCAACAAATGACAGTGATGAAGGAGTAAAGAACAAATTCTACCTTACACCACAGATGGAGTTAGAGAGAGTACCACACCACGACCTAACTATCGACACGGGTGACCTGAATGCCAAGGTCCGTAAGGACAACACAAACAACGACAGAGCAATGGGAAGACATGGGTGTGACACCATGAATGAAAACGGAGAAAGTCTTTTTGATTTCTGTAATATGAATGACCTAGTCATCGGCGGAACCCTATTTGAATATCGTGAAATTCACAAGCTGACATGGTGTTCTCCAAATGGTAGAGATAAGAACCAGATTGACCATATCATGATTAATGGCAACGCTCACTGGCAGATGTGAAAGTGAGAAGGGGTGCAGATGTTGGCAGCGACTACCACCTTGTGACGGCCTCTATCAAGCTAAAACTGAGAAGTGTGGGTCTCTATTTCAGAATGGAGAGAGGCAAATAGTCATGTACCCCAGGGGTCTGTTCTGGGACCAGTCCTATTCAACATATTCATAAATGATCTGGAAAAAGGGTTAAACAGTGAGGTGGCAAAATTTGCAGATGATACAAAATTACTAAAGATAGTTAAGACCCAGGCAGACTGCAAAGAGCTACAAAAGGATCTCTCAAATCTGGGTGACTGGGCAACAAAATGGCAGATGAAATTTAATGTTGATAAATGCAAAGTAATGCACATTGGAAAGCATAATCCCAAATATACATATAAAATGATGGGGTCTAAATTAGCTGTTACCACTCAAGAAAGGATTCTTCTTGGATTCATTGTGGATAGTTCTCTGTCTGCAAAACAACCCAGTTGTTCATCGCTATAGTGGAACAAAAGAAAGGTGCGCCGGTTTCTTCCCAGCGGATATCTTCATGGATCACAGTGTGTATTCGCACTTGTTATAACTTGGCAAGTGTCCCTCCGCCTGCTGTTATGGCTCACTCCACGAGGGCTCAAGCCTCCTCTGAGGCCTTCCTGGCGCATGTACCTCTCCAGGAAATCTGCAGGGCTGCCACTTGGGCTTCGGTGCACACCTTCACGTCGCACTACGCCATTGTCCATCAATCTCTTGATGACACGGCCTTCGGCAGGGTGATTCTTCAGTCTGCAATACCTTGACTCCGACCCCAGCTCCAAGGCAAGGCTTGGGAGTCACCTAACTGGAATTGATATGAGCAAGCACTCGAAGAAGAAAAAACGGTTACTCACTCTTTTTGTAACTGTTGTTCTTCAAGATGTGTTGCTCATATCCATTCCATTCCCCATGACCTTTTCCTCTGTTGGAGTTGCCGGCAAGAAGGAACTGAAGGGTGGGGTCAGGCTGGCAGGGTCGTATATAGAGCGCCATATCGGCGCCACTCCAGGGGGCTCCACAGCTGGCCCAACGGACAGCTGCTAGGGAAAAAGTTTCTGACATCCGTGCACGTGCGCACACCTAACTAGAATAGATATGAGCAAGCACTCGAAGAAGTACCTGGTCAAATACCAAATGTGCTTTGCACATATATTTGCAAATGAACATAAGTCATTGTTGCATAAACACCCAGGGGAATCTTCCCACCACACCCTGCAACACAACCTTAACTCTGCCCTCTTTGGGTGATGCCCCAACACTCAGATAACACACAGTAGCACTCTACCCTCACAGATGCTCCAGGACACTCTGAGCACAAAACACATGAGCACTGTAGGACAAAGTATTTTAGGAGTCATGATAGATAATCAGTTGAACATGAGCTCCTAGTGCGACAGTGGCCAAAATGGCTAATGTGATCCATAGACGCATAAAGAGTGGAATCTTGAGTTGGAGCCAGGTGGTTATTTTACCTCTGGATTTGACACTGGTGTGACCACTGCTGGAATCCTGTGTCCAGTGCTCACAATTCACAAAGGATGTTGATAAATTAGAGAGGGGTCAGAGAAGAGCTGTGAGACTGATTAAAGGATTGGAAAACCTGCTTTATAGTGACAGACTCAAGGAGCTCAATCTCTTTAGCTTATCAAAGAGAAAGTTAAGGGGTGATTTGATCACAATCTGTAAGTATCTATATGAGGAACAGAAATTTGATAGAGGCCTCTTCAATCTAGCAGACAAAGGTCTCAGGGCTACAAGTTGACACTAGACAAATTCAGTCTTGAAATAAGGTGCAACAATGAGGGTAAATAACCATTGGAACAACCTACCAAAGGCAATGGTGGATTCTCCACTTTAAACCAAGATTGGATGCTTTTCTAAAAGATCCATTCTAGTTCAAACAGGGATTAATTCAGGGAAGTCTCTGATATGGAGGAGATCAGACTGACCACAGTGGTTCCTTCTGACCTTGGAATCCATTGAAGTCTAACACCTTCTCTTTGCTATGGCAAAACTTGGATTTAGGTCAGGTGTGTGGAACAGGCACTACCTACCCCAGCCTACACTCCAACACTGCACCTATGCCACACAAACCATCCCAAACTGGCTAGGTGTTACCATCACTTCACCCTTGCCCTGAAGGTTCCTTCTGAGACATTGCCTTCACTTACCCCTCACTAAGCCCAGGACACCACTGCCATGTCTGCCACCAGAGAGCTGACGAGCCCCTGGGCAATGAAACCTCTATGCCCTGCTACTCAGTGCTGAAATGAGGCAAACTTGATCCCTCAGGATACACCTGCATCTCTCCTCAGATCTCCCCCATCCAATACAGCTACCCCTGACACAGCAAACACAGCTTGGAGGGCATGCAGACACATGTCAAGCCTATGGAACACAATGCCAACAATGGCACATTTTAGTCCTTCCTCGTGTCCATTCATTACAGCACCCAGCTTTTTGGCCCATTCCCAGCCCAGAGCCCCCTCCTGCACCCCAAACCCTGGATCCCCAGCCCCAACCAGAGCCCTCACCCCCCTGCCCCAGCCCAATAAAAATGAACCAGGGTGGGGGAGAGTGAGCCACAGAAAGAGGTGGGTGGTGGAGTGAATGGGGGCAGGGCCTCAGAGAAGGGGCAGGGCAAAGGTATTCCGTTTTCTGCAATTAGAAAGTTGGCAACCCTATCCATCAGTGATCCTCTTTGTCTTCAGACTTAGCCCTCTGGTCAGGTCACGTTTAGTCTCACCCCTTTCAGGATAAGCCCCAGTTTAACTCAAGAGTCTCATGACCTCATGTCAGGTCAACAAGCCAGACCAGCGCCCGCATCCAGGGGCAGTCCCTTTCTCTGCCCAAAAAGCACCTTAGAGACTAACAAATTTATTAGAGCATCTGACAAAGTGAGTTGTAGCTCATGATAGCTTATGCTCAAATAAATTGGTTAGTCTCTAAGGTACCACAAATACTCCTTTTCTTTTTGCGAATACAGACTAACACGGCTGCTACTCAAACCTTTCTCTGCCCAGTGTTCCAGCTCAGGGCCTGTAGGAAGCAGCAAGAGTCTCTCTGGTCAAATCTCTTGCTTCTTCTCTGGGCTGCTGCCTATGTTGGCCCACCCTCTCTTGAGCAGGCTTGCATTGTCAGCAGGGGTTTGCCCTGGGGTCAAACCCAGTTCCCAACATAACAAAAGGGGGGAAAAAAAAAAGCTAAACTAACAGAACTAAAGAGCAACATCAGATGACCTGTCTCACAAGGACCCTCCAAAAGCCATCTGACCTACCACTCCACATTCATCGGTAACCGAAGGGACCTGGCTCTCTGCTGCATTTGTCTCTGGGACCCGAGCACCAGAGATCTGTCCAACTCCCAGGGCTAGGTCCCTGGGAGCTGGGCTTCTTCTCCACTTCTGGCAGACTTCACAGGCGCAGCAGGGCTGGGGCCACCTGTGCCCAGATCCGTTCTTTAACCCTTTATTGTCTACTGCAGGGTTCATACACCTCATCACAATGCCATAATAAAACAGGACACCTGTAGGTTTGTTGGAATACATGTAAAGAAGGGAAGAAATGGACCATGGATGAGACTCATGAGAACTATGATCTAGTCCTGGCTCAGCCAGACTTCCTGGGTGACTTTGGCCAGGGCTCTTAGTTGCCCAATTCTGAAAAGGACATTTTTTATTATATATGTCTATAAGGGCTATTTAAGCAATTTTAAAAATTGCTATTAACCACATGACAGAAAAATCAATCACGCTCAATTGCAGTTTTAATTGCACAGTTAAGCAATAAAATACCATTCAACCAAAATATTTACGTTTCTTCTACATTTTCAAATATATTGATTTCAATTACAACACAGAATACCAAGTATACAGTGTTGACTTTATTTTTTTATTACAAGTATTTGAACTGTAAACAAGTAACTATTTCAATTCACCTCATACAAGTACTGTAGTGCAATCTCTTATTAAAAGTGAAACTTAAAAATGTAGTTTTATTTTTGAGTGCAGTTACGTTAAAAAAAATGCTCTAAAGCTTTAGAGCAGTGTTTCTCAAACTTTTTTTTGCAATCGACCTCTGGGGCTGGGGCTTCCTCAGGGCCCAGGTTGGCATCGGGGTGCTCTATGGCTTGGAGAAGCTAGGAACATTACGCTGGTGGCCGCTGTGACAGTACTAGGTGTTTAGGATGACTAGCTCAATGCCATATATTCACTGACTCAGTGAATTCTCTTCCTTTGAGATTTTGGATTCCAATACAATTTCTGAACAAGTTACTGGACATTTTATCAGTGCCACACACATGAAAAGTGTTATATGAATGGAGGTAGGAACCTGATTCATGAAACATTTGGCTGTAAAAATTTCACTGTAAAATTCACATGAAAGTGGAATGAACCTGACACTACGTAATGAGTGATATTCCCTCTCATTCTGCTTCTCTGGTGCCAGAGGTGAAAGTAAGCCGGTAAGTGAACTGGTAAGAGCCGGTACACAGCTGAGTGCACTGGCAGGGGGCAGCTTCCCTTGGGCCCAGGGCTCCTGGCAGCGGGTGGAGCCCCTGGCCCTTTAAATTGCTGCCAGAGCCCCGGGGCTCCCAGCCGTTGCTACTGCAGCCGGAGCACTGGGGCTGGAGTGAGCACCAACTCCATCAGGAGTGCTTGGAGTCTGATCTCACAAAGTCCTAGGTTTAAAGGACTTGCAGATTTGACACTTACGTGCCCTTCACTGAGGCACCTGAGACAGCTACTCTGCAGATTGCTCGTGGGCATGGGCTGTTTGCAGCGATTGCAGGGCTTAAAGCCTGGGAACCAGGGCATGCCCCATCCCCTGGCTAAGTCCCCGATGGGACTAACGAAAACTCACTCAACTACTAACTATGTACACTAACTTTACAAGAAGTCAAGAAGTCTAAGCAATGCTAGTAAGAGCAGTGAATGTTCCATGCACTGTCACAGACAGCAAGAAGGAACTGGGGGTGGGGGGAGCTGGCAGTGACCCTTATACTATGCCATACGGGTGCCACTCCAGAGGGCAGCAGATCCACTCCCCTACAAATATTGCTCTGAAAAAGCTTCCAGCACTGGTGCATGTGGCAAGCACACACAGCTAATGTGGAATGGACTTCAAAGAAGAAGTCATTCTTCCGCTCTACTCTGCGCCGATACGGCCTCAACTGGAGTTGTGTGTCCAGTTCTGGGTGCCACATTTCAGGAAAGATGTGGACAAATTGGAGACAGTCCAGAGAAAAGCAACAAAAGTGATGAAGGGTCTAGAAAACTTGAAAAAATTGGGTTTGTTTAGTCTGGAGAAAAGACTGAGGAGGGACATAACAGTTCTCAAGTACATAAAATGTTTTTTACAAGGATGAGGGTGAAAAATTGTTCTTCTTCACTTCTGATGATAGTACCAGAAGCAATGGGCTTAAATTGCAGCAAGGGAGGTTTAACATCCAACTTGCCAGGGTAGTTAAGCACTGGAACAAATTGCTTAGGGAGATTGTGGAATCTCCATCATTAATAGATTCTTTTAAAAACAAGTTAGACAAACACCTGCCAGGAATGGCCTACCTAATACAAAGTCCTACCTTAGTGCAGGAGATTGGACAACTTGCCAAGGTCCCTTCCAGACCTACACTTTAGGATTGATTCTTCTTGGGCAAAAGGGAAAATGTCATAACAAAGGAATCCTCAGGGAGAGTCTAAGGAAGGAGACCGGTTCTTTCTTCATCTTTGGATAGTGGAAGATGTGACCCCTAATAAAGCTTTTCCAGGTCTGGTTCCTATGAGTCTCAAACTTGTGATTCCATATCATGTCCCTTCCACATTGTATGGGCATCAGATTTGCTGCAGATCCAGGATCTCCCTGTGCCACACCTCGAGCTGCTGATCCCGTTGTCTTCAATCAGATATGCACAGTCGCCTCCTCCACTTATGGGAAATCTGCAACACAGACAGCAGGGGCTGGAGTCAGGGCGCAGCTGGGCATTTCCCATCCCACACTGTGCAGGGCAGCAGAGGGAGCAGCTGCACGTACAGACATCTGCCCCATTTCAGACTCCTCCCTGGCAGAATAGGGAAAATAGAGTGTAGGAAATTAGCAGGTAGTGGAGGGCCAGGAGATGAGTGGGGCTGAAAGAGAGCTGGGGTAGCAGCCTTCCCTGTGCTCACAACTTCACTGTATTGTAAACCCCTGGGGGCGACCACTGTTCAGCCCCAAAGGGGAGAGATTCCACAGGTCACTCTGACATGCACAGCGTGGCACCTCTCAGAAAGTTGTGCTGTGTTTGTACACTGCCGAGCACAGTGGGGCACTAGGCTACACCTAAGTGCTAAAGTAATACAAATAATGACGACAACACTGCACTGGGCCTCAAACGCTGCTGGAATACTGGTTTTAGTCCAGGAAAACCAAATACCTGTAAGAACCCAGACACATTCCCACACCCCCAAAACAACCTTGGTTAAATATATTCCTCTTTTGGCAGCACGACAGACACCTGTGATCTAACACTGAGAATATCACTAGAGGGAAGGACTCACCGCTGGTCGAATTCGGTGCCATTGGGCCATCTCCAGGGCTGGCCTGGCTCCCTCTGGAGGCCAATCCAACGGCCAAAGAAACCCTTAAAGCCCAGCAGGAAATGCTTAAAATAAGACAAACCAGATTATATTTAGACCCCTGGCTCTGGCACTCGCCTGCCCCTGTGGCTCTGTGTGGCCCCTGTTCACACATTTAGGTTTGGACGGGCCACCTGTAGTTTGCCTGCTGAGAGCCCCAGGTCTGATGACACAAGAACAAGCTGCAGTCTAAAGAGCCAGCTGTGCGTCAAAAAAGAGAACTCCCCTCCCCCGGCCCCACTCTAGGATTGGAAGGGGGTGGTGAAGGACCATCTGGGGAGCAGCTGGCAGCTCTACTCCTCTAACAGCAGCCTCAGCCAGGGAACCAATTGCTGGCTGAAAATCCCAGTTTGTTGGACGTCCCATTAGACTGGGACCTGCTCAGCTGGGAACATGTGCAGGAGCTGGAGGTAAAGACTGCCTCTGAGCAGCCCCCATCTATCTCCATCCCCAGATCCATGTTTACATGGACAGAGCTACCTCTGCCATTCTACAGTTTAGAAGCTGGAACCTCTGCCTTCCTTGCAAGGTGTCTTCCCAGCAGCTTCGCACGTAGTACCACCCTCCGTCCCCCTCAGCCAAACCAGGTGGCAGCTGCTCTGAGGAAGGGCAGAGCTCACTCCCTATAGAGCCCAGGTGCTTCCCCCAGCAGACACACGGAGCCCCCACCCCATGGAGTCAGTGGCTCTGGCCAGCTGCAGAGGCAGGTTCCCCACAGGCCAGGAGCGGAGCGGACTGGGCTGGCCCAGCCCTACAGAGGGGGATCCCTCCTGCCTGGGGCTCTGGGAAAAGAGGGGGGCTGGAGTGAGTGATCCCTGACTGTGAGCCCAGTTCTAGACAGGGCTTGGATTTGGCCACCAGAAACACTCAGGTTTCCCAGCAGGAGAAGCAACAGGGCAGTTTCTGAAACTCCTGGGGCTGAGCCCAATTCCAGCCCTGCCAAGCCCAGTCTGTTGGGATAAAGCATCTGCCACTCTCTCACCTTTTCCTGGTCACCATCAATCCCAGTCAGGGAGGCGTTGAGTGCAGAGCAATGGCTCTGGCTATTGTTCCAGTTCCCTTCAGTCTCGGAGAAATAATAGCATTTCCCTTGGTACCCAATCCAGCCGTCCGGGCAGCAGGGCACAGCAGGTGGGACTGGAGCAGCCAGAGGTGGTTTGGATTTTTCCACTGACAGACAGGTAAGTAACACAGGGTCAGAGACTGTGTCCCCTACCCCCAGCCTGACTCTGTATCTGAGTGAATAAGGGGAGAGGATCCCTCCGATCCAGGCTGCAAGCTCCTTACAGCCCTGACCGCTGTACTGAGGGAGGAAATCAACCATTTGAAACAAGAGATGGGCAACCAACCCCCTCTTCTTTAGTGGCTCAGTTTCTGGGGGTCAAATTCACAGAAAGTGCAGCTGACAAGCAAGCCAGAGCAGAGTACAGTAGCACCAGATTCACCATAAAGACAGAGCAGGGAGGGGGAGTGTTACCTGATGGCTGGCACAGACAAATATTGACATCAAATAAAGATATAGTTCAATATGATTGTGTGGGATGCTGGGTCTACTAACTCAGGGACGTCCTGCTACTGCAGCTGGCTGCCTCCCCTCCCCAGGCTCTTTGCTTTAGAGATGCATCTGGGGATGAAGATGGTTTTAGACTCACATCAGGGAACAAACCCTGACTGCACTAATCTGTGCAAGGAACAGGCTCCCAGAGAATCGGACACTGGAGACCCAGCCCAACAGAGATGTGTTTTATGGTGTCTGTACCAGTAAGAATTCCAGGGATGTTCCCTGCCCAGGGTAAAGGATGGTGGGGGCTAGCACAGCTCAGAGCAGCTTATCCTGTGCAGAGGATTAGGAGCCAAGTGAATGAGTTTGAGACGAGTGCTGTAATTCTCAGGGACATAAAATGGCCACAAGGTGGCACCAGAACCCCCAAAATGGAAATGCCTGTGAGGTTAAGACAGTGGTCCCCAAAATGTTGGGGGGGGTGCACAGTGAGCCCAGGTCACAGGGAGAGAGTGCCACCCAGCTCCACTCTGCCTCCAATTCTGCTCCAGCCCCTGCCCCAGCTGCCTGGACACGTAAAGTCCAGTTACCTCCAGTAACCTGCTTCCACCACTGCGGGGCAGGAAGAGCAGCAGCCGGAGCCTGAAAGAGCACTCAAAGGCTCCACAGAGAAAGACAGACAGCTCCCTAGTCCTGCCCTGAGCATGGCTCTGCCTCCCCCAGTCACCCCCAGCCTCAGCTGTCAGAGAGCATGGGCTGGGTAAGAGGGGGAACGGGGGGGGGGATGCACGACTGAAAAAGTTTTGGGACCACTGGGTTAAGAGCAGTCAGTGCCAAAGTCACCCTTTACAGAGACAGTTCAGCTGGGGATTTCCCCAGCACCCTCAAGCCAGCGAGTCTGTCACATGCTCCTAGGGAATTTCAATGGGCACCAACTCCCACAGCCACCTTTTGGAAACCCCACCCCTGCCTTCTTCCCCCAGTGCAGCAGCAGGGACAGGGTCACAGGAACTCCTTGGAAAACCTCCTGAAGTTTAACCCTTTCAGGGAAGGAGCAGCAGTGGGGCCAGCCATGACTAACACCAAGGATACATCTGAAGGGCCAGAGCAGTTGGCGAATACAGAGGTACACAATGGTGTTTAACAGGTAAGTCAGGACAAACCATTCTAGACCCGCTGGATTCACTTGTTAATACCTTCCCTGCCCCCCACAGAAACAATCCAGGGGAAGCAGAGACTGGCTGATGCAATTACCTGCTAAAAGTACTACTAGAGTAAGGATGATGACCAACATAAAAACTGTGACTGCAGCTACGATGGCAGCTGGGACTCCACGGGAAACGCGTTTCCTGAACTTGTTAGACCCAGGACCTGAAAGAGACAAAGCCATGAGTGCTTCTGGGGAGCAGACTCATTAACGGTATCCATGCCTGGGCCACTGTGGAGCAAATCTCTATTGTGATTCCCAGGGTGCTGCCCTTCCCGCTCTGGGTACAGACATTAATTACAGCCCCCAGTCAGAGGGCTAAACACAATGATAACTCGCCCGGACCCAAATGACCCCACACTTGCCAACCGCCTCATAGTTCAATGGTATCTTCTAGTCCTAGGACCCATTTGACTGTTGAATTTCTCCCACTGCTCCTGCACAGACTGCTACCCAGACTGGCTCTTGGCCCAGCTGACCAGAGTAAAGGGATGGGAACATATCTCACACTCACCTTTTTTCTATCCCCTACTGGGGAAAGAGGACCAAAACACACCAAAAAACCAACCTTCCCCACATACTCAGGGCTCATCTACACTTACAATTCTGCAGCTGTGCCGCTCTAGCATTTCAATGATGAGACTAGCTATGCCAAAGGGAGGACTTCTTCCCTTGGAGTAGGTACTTCGCCTCCCTCAGAGGAGAATTCTCCCATCAAGCTAGCTACAGCTTGTCTACCTAGTGTGGTCTATCCTGGTGGATTTAACTGCATCATTCAAGGCTGGATTTTTCATACTCCTGAGCAAAGTAAATATACCAACCTAATTTCCTTGTGTAGACCAGGCCACAGGCACTGTGCCTGCCAACTCCAGCTGCACCCAACCCCCTGGATTAAGTCAGGCAGCCTGAAAAGACTCAGAGGGTTGGACCACAACTCCCTGCCCCTCCCTTACGGGAAACTCGTGCAAAAAAAAAAAACAAAAAAAAAACCACACACACCCCTACTGGTGTCAGTTCCACCTGAAGACATCCCCAGCACCCACGTAGTCTGAGAAACAAGGGGTTCAGTTTATCTGTTCGCTGCTACAATACAATCAGGTTCACAGAATTGAACAGAAAAGCCACTGAGTGATCCTGGGGAAAACCATCCTGGGACAGACTCACTGGGTTTTCTAAGGCTCCTTCTCTAGAGCTAAGTGCAGTTACATGAGGGAAAGTAGCAAAAGTGTCAGATGTACAACAGGAACCCCTGTCCGTCCCCCAGGAGCCTCTGTGCTGAGAGTCTGAAGCAACCCCCAGATCCCCCAGACTAAAGACTGGCCTCTCTGGCTCTGCTTTAGGGTTTACACAGGGGGTCTGATCTCTCAGACTCCCTACAATCCTTGACTCTCCTTGTCTGAAGAAGGAAGTTTCCTTTGAAATCTTGATTCTCAGGACAAAGAGGGGATTTCAATAAGTGACAATGAAACACCGAAAAAGTGTTACTTAGGGAAATGACCCCTGGCTGCCCCCACGGGAAATGAAGCTCCCAGCTCCAGCATGTGTGACATTTGGAGGTCTCATCATCCCCATCCCCCTCTTCCCGCATGTCAGCCTTAGCAAAGAGCTTTTCCCCAGAGCTCAGGGCCACATCTCCCAGGCACAGCAGCTGCACCTGCAAATATGCAGGAACAGACAGCGTTAACTGCCACCGCCAGACAATAGCTCATTCTCATGCACACCCAAGGCCCTGCCTCCATGCGACTGTTTCGGGTGTGTGCTTCTCACACATTTCACACAGAGAGGGCATGCAAAAGTGAATTGGACCAGAGGGAAATAGGGACCAGGATTTCAGAGGGGTAACAACACCCACCCACTGCAAGACCTCTGGCTACATGCAGGTACACAAAGTACAAGCTGGGTACCTGTTCTGCTGAAGGTCACTAGGCCCTCAGTGATACTGGGTCCAGCTCCAGTTTGTCCTTCTTGGGTAGTTCCTTCCTGGCACAGTGCTCCTCCTGGCATGTCCCCAGTTGGCTGCTGTCCCTCCCAGGCTTCAAGCTGGTTCTTGGCTGCTTCACTGTGTGGGGGCCTGCTCACTGTTGGTCCCCTTGTCTGGAACTACAGACACACTCTGTCAGTCTCCCCACTCCCCTGGAAGAGCCAGTACTTCCTCTGCCTCCGTACAAGTTTTGCAGGGGCCATGCTCTCTAAACCCCAAAGGGAGTTTCATCTAAAAATCAAGTGGCCAGATTTTCAGAGGGAGTTGCTAGGTCCTGAGCACTTTTAAAGAACATGGCCAATGGTGTGAATGTGTATGTTAGAAAGGCAGATAAAAACAAAGATTATGCTGTGTGGTTACACGTAATTCTTTATTATGAAACTAGAAGTTCACGGAGATTTTTCGTACACCAAAATAGATGCCAGGTATCTGTTTTACTTTCTCATTTAGGCCCTATTTATGCAACCACATGTGCTTAATGTAATTCAGGTGAGTAAATTTAAGTATATGTGTAATGGTTTTCAGAATCATGGGGCCTTGATTTTCAAATTTCAAACAAGTCAACTGATCTGTGTTAGCAAAAAGAAAAGGAGGACTTGTGGCACCTTAGAGACTAACCAATTTATTTGAGATGAGCTGTAGCTCACGAAAGCTCATGCTCAAATAAATTGGTTAGTCTCTAAGGTGCCACAAGTCCTCCTTTTCTTTTTGCAAATACAGACTAACACGGCTGTTACTCTGAAACCTGATCTGTGTTAGTAACCACAAGTTAAGCTGTCAGCCCTGAAACTTCAGCTTGCACAAAACCCAGCAGCACACCTCCTCAGCATCATACCTGTCCTCTATTCACTACCTGGGCAACCCAGAGGACATCACATCATGGTCATGATTGAGTCCTCTTCAAGGTGTGTAACAGCCAGGGCCCAGGACACCCAAGAGCAGAGCTGAGATCTCTCTTCAGGCACAATGAAACTTCCTACTTGAAAGGAAAGGAAGGCTGTACAGGAGACAGAACCTTCTTGGGGTTTGGTTCAAGGCAGTGGAAAAGAGCACCAAGGGATCTAAGAACCATTACCCACACTGTCTGGCCCAAGAGCAGGGTTTTTACCCCAAAAAGGAAGATCTGTGAGAGACTCCATGAAGATCAGTAAGGACTTTGCTGTTGCTTTTACATTGAAGGTGCTCAGATACTACGGTGATGGGCAGCCACACGAAATCCTATGACAGAACCACCAATGACAGATGCTAGTTCCACCGCTTAATAGTGCTCATACCAGAGAGAGGGTGTGGTATGATAACCTGAGTATTATCTAGATCATCCATGGACCATCTAGACCAAGCCTCTCACCTGACTGACTGTTTCTGTGATTTATGATCCCTCCCTATCAGATAGGCTAATAATCATTTGTTGGAATGAGTAATGAGGTGTTCTCTGAGGTAATCTGAGGAGAGAAAGCAGAATGATTTTTTAGAGGGTCAATGATATAATAGACAAATCAAGATGGATTAAGATTTCTGTTTGAGCAAAAGGAGAGCCACTGGATAATACTTACCTGATCAGCAAGTCCTCAGTCTGTCTGTACACCTAACGGATGTTCCTGCAAAGGAAGTAACAAAGTTATTAAGCAAAGTTCCTGAGGATCAATTCAAGTAGTCCACAATAGATCTGAAGATGCTTTCCAAAGCAAGGTGAGGATGCTTACATCCATTTCAGAGGCTGAAATTAAGGTAGAGGCAATAATTAGAGCCCTGAAAATATCTGCTTGATATCCCCAGACCATGTTTGTGGATCACAGATGGATGTGGATACAAATTTCATATCTGCGCAGGGCTCTAGCAATAAGCAACACCAGCTGTGTTCACATAATCAATCAGTACCAACCCTAGGAATAGAACCCAGCATCCTGACTCAGTCCTCCATTTTAACCATTATACAACTTTTTCCCCGGGCTGGGTTTCAAATATGTGCTCTGACCACTAGACCCCACTCTCCCACATCTGGGAAGAGAACTCAGGAGTCCTGGAGACCATCCTTCTTTCAGATGAAAAGAAAAAAGAAAAAAATCAGTATCTCCTCCCCAGCAACATACAAGCCAGCTGCTACTTTAGTAGAAGTCAGGTTGTTTCCTCTCCGGTCCCGATGGGCACTTCATCTGGGGAAGAGTGAGAAACATCGTTCCTTCCTATTTTATCTTCCCCATACACCCCCTAAGGGAAATTAAATTTCAAAGGGATTCCCTCCTTGCCTGAAAAGTAAATGCAGTGAAAAGAGGGGGATGTGTAGGGAAGTTTTTGCCACTAATAAGAAACACGGCAGATGCCGGGCTCAAGATCCTCGCATCACACTTCCACAGGACAAGACATCCATTCCTCTCCCAAAGTTTAGTTTTCAGAGTAACAGCCGTGTTAGTCTGTATTTGCAAAAAGAAAAGGAGTACTTGTGGCACCTTAGAGACTAACCAATTTATTTGAGCATAAGCTTTCGTGAGCTACAGCTCACTTCATCGGATGCATACTGTGGAAAGTGTAGAAGATCTTTTTATACACACAAAGCATGAAAAAATACCTCCCCCCACCCCACTCTCCTGATTATCTTCTTGATTATCACATTGTAAGGAGAGTGGTCACTTTAGATAAGCTATTACCAACAGGAGAGTGGGTTTGGGGGCAGGGGAGGGGAGAGAAAACCTGGATTTGTGCTGGAAATGGCCCAACTTGATTATCATACACATTGTATGGAGAGTGATCACTTTAGATAAGCTATTACCAGCAGGAGAGTGGGGTGGGAGGAGGTATTTTTTCATGCTTTGTGTGTATAAAAAGATCTTCTGCACTTTCCACAGTATGCATCCGATGAAGTGAGCTGTAGCTCACGAAAGTTTATGCTCAAATAAATTGGTTAGTCTCTAAGGTGCCACAAGTACTCCTTTTCGTTTTCCAAAGTTTAGTGTACACAGAATGGTTTCTTCCCACCATAACACTGCAACTCTGTTCCAATTCGGATACCCTTGTCAAACTTTAAGCCTATGTTCGAAAGTGAAGCAAGGCTTCAGAAAAGGCTTCAGCTGTCCCCTCCCCCCAGGTAAGCAAACCAAGAAACATTGCAACAATTTTCTGTAACTGTCTGCTGAAGTATCAAATGACAACACAGCTGCCCAATCACAGCAATGTCAGCGCTTTCATCTAGGAGGAAATCGTCTGAGCCCTGGTCTACACTACAAAGTTGTCAGTATACATGTGTCACTCCAGGGTGTGGAAAATGCACACCCCTGAGGGATGCAGTTATACAGACAGATCTCCCGGTGTAGACAGCACTATGAAGCCCTCCCTAGGACACAGCTACCACCTCTTGGGGCGGTGGAATATCTACACCCATGGGAGAAGCTCTCCTGTTGGCATAGGTAGTGTCTTCACTAAGCGCTGCAGCTGTCCTGCTGCAGCTCTAAGTGCAGTCAAGCAGAGTCACCTCTAGCTTTCAGGAAATCAGAGAATGCGCAAGGTGCTGTCACTTTGAATGGAGGACCTTGAGGTCCTTGTCCAATGTTGCGTCGATGATCTCCTCCAAATAATCCACATCTTACACATCTGCGTGGCATGCCATAAAGCACACCACTTTCAGTTCAACCTGACGCACTAAAACAGCAGTAGTAAACATGCTGGGAGCCACACGAACCCCAAAGTCAGTCAAGCACATTGAGAAGAAATGAAACAGAATTTTTCTTCTGCTTCTCAGTCTTCATATGCTGCACCAGATCTGCATGGTGGGCATAAAGGGCATATTTACAGAATTTGCAGCCATCCAGACCAGCATCCCCTACCACAGGCACGATCCATTGTTTTAGGCCCTTCTCTTCCCACCATTACTTGCACTCTCTTTTCCCATACTTGACCCATTTGCTTAAAGGTGGTGTGGATTTTGAACTAGAACCCATGCTTTTACTAAACGTAACAACAGTCAGAACCTACACAGCTTGCACAGCACTCCAGGACAGTAATAAACCCCCCAGAATTAGTCAATTTCTGTACCTTTTTTCTATGACAAATTGCAAACTCAGACCTAGGCCAGCAGTTCTCAGACTGTAGGTCGGGACCCCAAAGTGGGTCACGATCCTATTTTAATGGGGCCATCAGGGCTGTCTTAGATTTGCTGGGGCCCAAAGCCAGAGGGTTCAGCCCTGCGTGTTGGGACTCAGGTTACAGGCCCCCGTGCCTGGGGCTGAAGCCCTTGGGCTTCAGCTTTGCACCACGCGCCTGCCCTGCACAGTGCAATGGGGCTTGGGCAGGCTCAGGCTTCAATTCCACGAGGCCTAGGCCGGTGTAATTTAGGTCACTAAAGAGGATGGCTTATTCACTCTCCTAAGCAACATAACTTACATTGATCTAAGCTGTGGTGTATACATAGCCTCAGACTTCAAAGCCAGAAGTAAGCATCATTATGCTCTAGGCAGACCTGCACCCTGTAGGCCACTTGAACCTCACCCATCCACTCCTATAATAGACCCCTAACCTCTGGGCCAGTAATTCACCAAGGCAGCAGAACCATTAGCCAACTTCCCTACCATTCAATGCCAGCACTAAACGTGTTTGACACAGTAACCGTATCGTGTGCGAAAGGAACCATTTACTGTGAGCACCTGCAGACCCCCCCCCGCCCCCCCCAACCAACTCTGCATCCCACCTCCTCCTCACAGCAGGCCCGGCCACCCACACACAGCAGAGCCAGCCCTAGGGGTAATCAAATATACTCGCCAAACAAACAGGCCCATTCCCCGGGAGGGATGATACAGTCCGTTCAGGAGCCACGCCCGGGCACTAGGAACAGCAGCATGATGGTGAACCAACCACCCCGACCGACCGACCCGCACGGCCCCTCCAGCCGCTTCAGTGTGATCACCCCCCCTCCCCGCCGCCGGCCAACCGCATCGATGTGTCCCATGCAGGCCACCGTCCCCGTCCAACCGGCGGCCTTAACCGACCCCGCGAACTGTTGGGAGCCCGACTCCCCCTCCCCCAACACAAATCACGCTCTTTGCAACTGACCGGGCCCAGTCCGGGACCAGCCCCCGGCCGCCTCACCTGGGCGAAGAGCTACAGAGTAGGGCTGTAGGCGCACAATCCAGGTCCACCCCTAGAGCAAGGTGGGCTATGTCAGGAAAACCAAACCCGGGCCGGGCCAAGCCAAGCCGAGCAGCACCAAGCACCGGCCACCAGCCCCTCTCCACCGGTAGTACTGAGGGGCAGGGGAAAGATAGGTTTCAGAGTAACAGCCGTGTTAGTCTGTTTTGCAAAAAGAAAAGGAGGACTTGTGGCACCTTAGAGACTAACCAATTTATTTGAGCATGAGCTTTCGTGAGCTACAGCTCACTTCATCGGATGCATACCGTGGATTTTCCACGGATTTTCCACGGTATGCATCCGATGAAGTGAGCTGTAGCTCACGAAAGCTCATGCTCAAATAAATTGGTTAGTCTCTAAGGTGCCACAAGTCCTCCTTTTCTTTTAGGGGAAAGATAGAAACCAGTGCTTTGCTCTGAATTCAAATAGCCGGGCAGGACCAGTCCCCTTCGCCCCTCCACAA